GAAGCAGAAGAACAAGTCTCTGATTGTTATGGCCACTAGACCCATCAAACTAGATGAATACAACAAAAGGAAACTGTTAAGCTGAATTGATACAAATTTGTTTCTCACCTTAAACAGTCGTGTGTGTTTATGGAGCTCAAATTTAATATTGCCTTAAATCCAATGGAAAGAGATGCCTCGCTGGCTATAAAACAAAATCCCCTTTCATTTCTTTTTGTCTTTGCATTACAACCTGTATACTTGCCCATGATTCTATGCTTTGCATGTACTACCTTTAATTTACTTTTTGAAAACTTTAAAGTTTAGCAGAGACAGAAACAGGATGAGTTTGGGAAAGAATCCCTTATTGCCCAAACTCCAACCTCCCAACACCAACAGGGACTCCCTGTTAGGGACGCTTTGCCAGTCCCCATACCTGCCCCTACAGGGAGACAGGATTCCGGTAATAATTTGCTCATTTTCCTTATTTGTTTTAATAATTCATTCTATCATGTCAAAATAGATACCTAATTGCATCATCCATCTTTGTTATAATCCATCTCCACAAGCAAACAGTTCCCAACAGCTACAGATTAAAAACCAAAATTACACCAAATGGCATAAAAGTTTTTGAACATAAATGTTTTAATAAAGCTGAATTCTCAAAACAGCAAGCAAATATGATAACCAACAGATCCAGGGTTTTTTTTATAGGAAAAGAAGTTCATTGGGAAAAGAAAAAGAAGTATATTTGTGGAGAATTAGACATCCTCCTCGAAACTTCAACTACAATAATCAAAACAACCAAAAAGAAAACTCAAAATACATAAGACCAAGCAGAGGAGTATAGACTCCAATCCCAAAGCATTACAAAATTATTGCCTCCCAATTCCTATATAACACCGGGAGAGTAATTTCCAAAAGCCGTCTGGAGCTTTCACCCATAGTATGGCCAAAAAGTCTGTCCTTGCCTACAGATCCTGATTATGTAAAGAGTAATAATTAAAGATTCACCTATTCTTTTCAAGCCATAAGGTCCATAAACATGAACTCATAAAACACTCCACCATGGGGGGAATGACTCAAGCTAAGCCAAACAACCCAACCACCCGCATCCAAAATCACAAGGCAATGTCACAATAGGAGTGGGTCTCCCTTCCCACCCCACGGCCCCCTCCGCCCCCTGACAACGTATTATACAGATATCTGGGGCCAAAATGGGAGTGGGGGTCATCTATTCTTTACTACACAAAATAAAATACTTCTAAAATAGACTCAAGTGAAGAATCAATCTAGACCAATCTAAAATTTTTAGTGAGCTTGGAGAAACCAACGTAAAAGGTTTCAAAAAAGGGACATTGTTCCGTTGTTCAAGTCTGCAGTCTGCAAATAGAAGCCTTCGCATTTTTCTCTTAGGTTTAGGTTGGAGGATTGAATTGAAAGCGTTCAAGGAATTGAATAAACTGAAATTTCACTTGCAGTAATTAGACAAATCTGAAAAAGAATCCCTTAACTCAATGAAAGTCACAGAATTAACTTTAACATTTTTTTTCCTTAGTAATTGCACATTCAGTAATTTCTTAACAAAACCCAAAATTGTAAGTACACTTCTCGTAATTTAGCAAATCTAAAATCACTACGTATATTAACCTAAGAACTCTGATATTCTTCATCTTCTAAACTAATAATGATTAGAAGTAAGTGTAAAAAACTAAAAATACACTAATGCCAACGACAAGATAGAAAGCGAACGGAAATTCAAGCAGTGTATTCGGAAGTAACAAAACTTTTGATACAAAATCAAGTTGAACAAGAAGCAGAAATAGAAAGTTTGCAGAAGATGGAAGAAAAAATAAGTCGTACCGAAAAAATGCCTGATCGAAACAGTGAAATTTTTCCTCATAGTTAGAAGCTGCAGCAGATTATGGAAGAAGAAGCAGAAGACTTAAACGGAATAATGAAAAAGGCTTATATATGGGTGATTGCGTAGATTGAGTATCAGTTTAATTTGAAAGGTAGAAAAATGCGGCATGTGGCAGCATATCCATACATGTATATATATGACTGCCTGTCAAACCTGCCGAAGGCCACGCTGACGAATATAATTTGGGAAACAGTGTTACTTCCGGATAGAGGATAAATTAGATACGAGCTCTTTTGATAATTTTGTATAATTATAATTACATTTATTATTTTAAAAATATATATAATTTCGTAATTTTATAAATAAAATATTGTTAATTTTTTACTATTTATTATTTATTATTGATCTATAGAATATGTTGGTACATTTTCAGAAATTCTTATATTTTTCTCTTTTTACTAAATAAATAAATAAATATGAATAAAATATTAAATGTTAATTAAGTTATTAAATATTATAACGATGACTTATAATTAAAGGTTTCCTAGATTAACTGTTAACTTTATTTAATTACTTGATCATATTAAACTTAAATTTATGTTTAAAATAATAATGCATTTTCTAAGGTCATTGTAGGAAGCTAATATTATACAAATATATAACTGAAATTATATAAGGTTAAATATCATATCATTAAACTATTTATAGTTGTTCAAATTAGAACGTTAATCTATAATGTAAAAGATTTTTCCGTATTAATTACTTATATTATTTTCTTTAAACCACTTATAATATTCGTAACTACAATTATAATTCAATTAATTTTTAATAAGTGTCATCCTTCATAAGTTACCATTGATAACCTTTTATTAATGTTATTTTTTCGAGATAAAATTCATACCATGATGCCTTTTTTTATTCCTGAATGGGTTTCTCCTATTTTTTTATTATTTTTAATTATAAATTGAATGCAAAATTTTCTATAACCTTTAAATGTCATTAAATGTTAAATGTAACATTCCGAACCCAGAATTTCGGCTCGGGATGATATAAATTAATTTAAAAATAATAATAATATTTAATTTTAATTTTTTTGAATATTTTTTTTAATATATACATTTTTTATGTCTTTGAAAATATTTTCAAAAAGAATAAGTCAAACTGATAATAAAAGAGAACTTATTTGAAAAGAAAAATTGAAAGCAAGGGCCAAATTGCAAAAAAGAGAAAAAAAACGGCCACATAGGACGGTCACATTAGCAGTACGGCCAGTCGTCATGCACCACATAGCAGACACACCAGCACGCATTCCACGCAGGCAATCTGCGTACCATGAGATCTAACGGCTCGTGTTCACTCTCACGCGTAAGAACAGTCCAGATCTATTTCCTCATTAAGCACGATCGAATGGTCCACACGCCTTTGATCGAACGTCCCAAATATGTTCCCCTATTAGGCACAATCGAACGGCTGAGGAGGCAACACGCGAACCCAGATGGACGACCTAAATTGAGAGAGGAAGAGTATTTAAAATTCTCTTCCACTGAAACCCTAACCCTAGCCACACACCTGCTCGCCGAAGAAAAAGAAGAAGGGTGGCCGGAGAAACCGGCCGCCGAAGTCGTTGCACCGGAGACCCAAATCGACGGTGGTAAGTGTAATTTTATCCCATTCGTCCCTTTTTCCATTGTAAGCTACCCAAAACACTTCTTAATGTAGGACAACTCAAGGAAAAGCCGCAAACGGAGGGCGTAACTCGGCTCAACTGCCATACCCGAAACTGGAAAACACTCTGGTGACCCCGAAGCCCTTTCTCACTCCTCCCGTTTCTCGACCATAGGTCATCTAACATGTTTTTCGGTGCAGGGTAGCCGAAGAAAAGTCGCGACCGCGAGAAAAAAAGGGCAGAGCTCGGCAGAACCACTGCACTAAGAAGCCAGAACCACCGGTAAGCTCCAGTTTTCTTCATTTTTTCACTGACAGACATCGCCTAACCCCAAAATAAACAGGTTTTAACCCAGAACCAGCTGAAACAGGCCTAACCGAGAAGAGGAGCCACCGTAGAAAGAGGAACCAGCAGTGGAGTACGACGGTGTTAAACCAACCCCCTGTGAGATTTTTTTGCCTTTTTGGTTGTTTTTGCATATTTTCACGTTATTTTGACGTAAGTTTTGATTTTAGCATAAAAACTCAAGAAATTCAGGAATTGGGAACCACCAGGAAGCGTAATGAAAAAGGTGGTGTTACAGACACCGACCCAAGTTAAGAATCTTTCACCCTTTTTCCATGTTACGGTTAAATTGAAGATAAACAAATAATAAAAAAAATTTAGTTAATTAGCAGTCCTTTAATTAATTAAGTACAGGTGGCCAATAGAGCAAATAACCAGTCAGTTTATACCTATTTTGAGTTTCAATTGCAATATTTACATTCTTCAGTAATTTATTATGCTTATCTATTCACTATTCTGCTTACTGTAATTTATCCGCTTTAAATCTATGGTTAACACATGGTAAGGTTTCTCAATCTATGTTGTCCAGTCACTCTGTTGTGTGTATAACATATTTCTATTAGTATAATACATCCTTAATTCATGTATCTATCTTAATATGTGCACTTATATATTTGTGATATAGATGTACGGACACCCCTTAGGGCTAAGTGCTAGATAATAGAAAGCACATGCATGAACATGTGGTGTCAAATTAACAGGGCTTACCGGGTATTAATGAAAAGAGTGTATGGAAATAGTGCATAGGGTAAACTCTACCGTGCATGTTACTCTTAGTAGAACGGGACTGAGAAGTCCCATACCGGAAAAGTTGAGAATTATTTTGATTACACTCATACCGGACAAGGTATTGAGGCGATTATATATTTGGCACCCATTACCAAACAAGGTATGGGGACGACCATTTGATTTATAAAATAAATATTTGGTCCATATGTAGTGGAGATCCCTATGGACCCCCAACAGCATTTGTAGGTAAGTGAAAATGATAAAGGTAAATTGTTGTTGGTCTTTTAGAATGCGTAGTGTGGATTACTATTCTGATTCATATCTTCATAAATAGCATTTAAGAATTTGCAGGTGAGTTAAGAAAATTAATATTTTCAGTTAAACGAGTTTATTTAAAAATGAGCTTTATTGGTTGTTTTACAATTTATATAACCTTCAATTTTTCATATCAGTAGTAAAGCGTTAATATTCTTACTGAGTTAGTGTAGCTCATCTCATTATTATTAACTATTTCATATCAGGACAACCAAGACTCGGATCCTGAACAGCAAGAAAACTAGCTAAAAGGTTATCTCTCCATTTTTTCAGCTTCGAGCAGAGGTTGATCACATTAGTTTTTCTTATTATTTTTTCATTTATGTTCTTTAAGAATATTCTCGTAGCCCTATTGGGTGTTTTAATCAAACTGTGTAAGGAATATAACCCTAAACTCTAAATTGCTTCCACCAATTAATAAATTTCAGTGTTATTTTATTTTCCTAATTTTAGGCTTTTACAGTTGGTATCAAATCCGCGTTCCTCGGAGCCATTCCTTGCATATATGGTTAGAGTAATTTAATGCAACTCGAATATCAAACTTTTGTTATGAAATATAGGTATAAGAACATGAGGAGAGAAAAGTCTCCGCTAAATAGAGCAGCACATGAGGGATCACTTCAGGAGGATGTTGATCGGCTCTTCGAGATGCTTGAGAGACTCATCTCTGCCCAGCAGGCCAGGGATGAGAGAAAGAAGTTGTTTGATTCCTCTCCACTGCCATAGTATAAGCCACCTCCACACCAAGAGGATCCAGTACCACCACGGTACA